AATGAAGAAGTGGTAATTGGTGTATTGGCTTTAATCTGTTGGAAATGGAAAAGGCTTCCATGAGATTTTTCCTTTGCTTGACTTTGAAGTCTTTCCCCATCTCATCTGTAAGTTAGACTACTGTGTGACTAGTTGACTGACTTATTTCCATGATCATTGTTGACTACTGTGTGACTAGTTGACTGACTTAACTGTAATATTCAATGCTATAATTTACTGTCATTTTCCCACCCCGTTTTCTGTTTTCTGTTTTCTGAGAATGAAAACAACTAAAAACGCGTTCGGTGCTGTTAAGTTTGAAAACACGGAAAACTAATAATTGAAAACGATCTCAACTTTTAGATGTTTTCATCATTTTCTCAAATCCCATACCCAAATATTCCTTTCAGAAAATACAAATTCAACATCTTCAAACATAACATCACCAATCAAACCCATCACCACCAACAAAGACAATCAAATCAACAACTAATTACCGAATCAATTTTCATTCCAAGAATAGGAAAAACGTTTAAAATAAAAATAAAAGGATGAAAAACTGGGAGATGGGGACTTGGGAAGCTACTGGAAGGTGAGGTGGCAGTGAGAGAGAGAGAGAGAGAGAGAGTGTGCGGCGGCATGAAGAGAACGTGAAGGAGGAGGGGGATGGGGGTTGGGCTTGGTCTTATCCTTAAATTTTTTTCCGTTCTCCTAGACCCTGTAGTCCAAGGAGTTTCTGATCACCCACCTTGATCTAATCTAAGGGTGCAGAAAAAACTTATTTTAAAATCCATAAAGTTTTTTTTTTTTTTTTTTTTTTTTTTTTTTTTTTTTTTTTTATTTATTAGTTAAAAAAACATTTTCTGGGAAAAAAAAAGAAAAACAAACAAACAAACAAAACACGTTCTGAAAACTTGGAGTGCATCCGCCTTTATCACCTTCTGATTCTTCTGACATTGGGACAGCGGATTCTTCTGATTCCTTTGCTCTGTTTTTTTGGGTTAGTTTTTTCTGCTTTTGTGGATGGATTGTAAAAGAAAGAAGAGCCAATTTGGGTGTTATGCCTTTTCTTGTTCTTCTTCACCACTTTGATTCAATTTTTCTGATTTAAAATCCTTGATTTGAATGATTTGAGGAACCCAGATTTGAAATCATTACTTTTCTTCTTCTTCTTCACCTTTGATTCAACACATCATTGATTTATCAACAAACCAATATCAATTTCTCAACCAAAAAAATTGGTTTTTATATAAAGATTGCTCTCTTATTAATCAGAAAACAGAAGAAAAAGCAATGGGAGAAACCTAAAGAGTAGAATCCGCATCACCGAATCAGACTAAGCTAAAGAGTCGACCTCCACCATGGGGTCGGAGGAGGCTGGGCAGCGACTCCGCAAGTTTCCAGAAACGTGTTTTGTTTTTGGTTTTTTAACTAATATATTGTTCAGTAAAAGAAAATGAATAACCTTTTATTATACTTTATACTCATTTGGCGAAAGGGAGTTTATACTTTATGCGTAGATTAAAAGATTGTTAATTCTGTTTCCAGATGGGTTTTGGTGGATAATTCCTTGATACTGATTCAGTGTGCTATTCTTATGCAAGTGGGCAATTATATTTATTACTTTAATGTTGAATGGATTCTGGTGTATAAAAACTCCTTGTATTCTTTGCAAAGTTGGTCAAGGTACAAGAATGTGAGAATACGGGGAAGGAAAAAAAATCAGTAGAATAGTGGAGGTAAGCGTATATGGGAAATATCTTGTGTTCTTGTATTGCATCCACATGTATAAATATATAGAGTTTCAGTTGAGGGATTTCTTAAATAAGTTTATTTGAAAGACACATTTATAGGGCTCATTCTGTATTGTGTTTCACTAATTCAAACAGTCTATTTGTAGATATTCATTTATTTTTAAGATTATATCTACAAAAAATCATTTTTAAGATCATTTGACCACTCAATTGAATTATTGAAATTTTAGTAATTTCTTAAAGCATCGTGTTTATTGATTTTGTAAGACACAATTAGATGTTGAAACGGTTTTCGATTTATCTAATTTTTTGCAAGGATGATATATGAATATAGACTTAAAAAATAGATAGTTTGGATTGTTGAAATTTTTTTCTTTGTAGAGAACTCTAAAAGGTCCCTAAATAAAATTATTTGAGGAATCTCTCAATAGAAAGAGAATATATGTAATGACAAATAATTCATCAAAAGAAGATATTAAGAAATCAAAAACTGATGTATGGTCCCAAAATTGTGACCATCAAATGAAGAGAAACTCTCATGTAATGGGGATATAACTTTTTGCTATCTGGGCCAATAATGCAGTGGCACGGTAGGATAATTTTTTCACATGGTGTTGTTATTAGCCGGGGATAGCAAAACAGTGCCATCCCCCCAGGTGAGGGGGAGGGTTTTTGAGGGTTTTGCATCAGTTGTAGCACCCATGATTACCAACATTTCTCATCATATATGTGCTCATTTAATATATAATATATTTAAATTTTAATACCAATTAAGTTTGCAATTTTTTTTTGTGCCAAAATTTAAGTTTGCATTTAGTGAACACACATTGGATGAAGACCTAAGAGATAAAAAGGACAATTTGAAAAAAAAAATTGATGAAGCACAATATTTAAAAACATTGATGGTGAAAAAAGGGACCACTGGGCAACCTAGGCATTGCCTTATTCAATCCTCTCTCCTTCCTTCCTAGCAAAAATACTTGGATCCGGATCCTCTGCTTTGATTTTCTCTGCTATGATCTGCTTTACTTTTGTTCTCCACATGCCATCTCATTAAAATTTAATCTAAGGGACTTAAAAGTTGACACATCATCCTAAAAATAAAAAACTCATTTACTTCTAATTTTTTTATAAAAAAAATTCCCTAATCCAACTAACGGGAAAGTTAGCGTTCCTAGTCTTCTTTAATCTTCTCCTTCTTCCTGCTTCACGTTCTGTCTTTCTTCTCTTATTTTTTCCTCTTCTTTCCCCAAAAATCTTACCTCTCACTGAGATTTCTTTTCCCCAAAACCTCTGTAATCATAATCCCTCTTCTCTTTCCCATATCAAAAGAAAAAAAATTATTCCATATTCATTGTTTGATGATGGTGGTTGCAGACATAGCCTCATAGGAAGAAAAAAAAAAGTAAAGATCAGAAGCAAAAGAATACGAAAGTGGTAGATGAATTTGTTTATAAATTAATCAAAAGCAAAAGGACTCAGATGATTCTTATTATGTTCATACTTTTCTTGGTAATAATGTTTTTGTGTTCTAAGATTGGACACAAAAAAGAATGATGAGCGATAAGATTTGGGGGTGGGGGGAGACGTGTAGAGAAGGAAGAAGAAGAGAAAAAAAAACTGCTACAGCCGTTAAGTTTAGGCGTTAGTCAAGTTAGGGTTTTTTTCATTTTTAATTAGGAGTAAACTGAAATTTTATTTTAAGGAAGATGTGTCCAATTTAAGCCCCTTAGATTAAATTTTAATGAGGTGGCATGTGGAGAACAAAAGTAAAGCAGATCATAGCAGAGAAAATCAAAGCAGAGGATCCGAATCCAAAATACTTACCCGGATAAAATACATCATTGTTCCTATAACACTGACATCAGGTGAGGTTCACTCATGTGGTGAGTTGAATTATGTAGTTGAATATGATTTATAATCCTAGTTAAATGTTTAGTATCCAAAAGACAACATGAATTGAATTATGTCTAATCTTATTAAGGCCAAATGTAGTTGGATTATGAATCCTATCAAAATGTTGGGATTGAGTTGGATTCGATTATATTAAGCCATGTAATAGCGCATTTTAATTAATCCAACATTTTAATCATGTGTAGTACCAAACACATCATTGGATTAGTGCTATCATTTCCTATATAATACAATCAAATTCTACCTCATAATTCAATCCAATTCCAGTCACCAAACATAGCCTATAGGTACAAGGGGGTATAAACCTTGGGATCGGCAAGTCCCTCTCCCATATTATTTTGTCTGCTTTGCATTGTTTTCTTACTTGTAGGTCATCTTCCTTTATCTTTTAACTGGATTATCTTCAGAATATCCTCCTTGGTCGAATTCCCTATCTTCCTCTTATCATCTTGTCTGGGTTTGCATTATTTTCTGAAGTCTATTAAGAAGAAGTAGGAACCCCAATGAAACACAATATTTTGTTCAATCTCATCCTTTTCCTTTGTGTTTAAGCTTTCCATGAGTTCACGTGGCAGGGCGACGCAAATGCTACTAGAAGTGTAGTTACTAATTTAGAGCTACTTTTGCTTTCAATAGAAAGTGATCTCAAATTTAATCCTCCTAGAAAAAAAAAAAAAAAAAAAAAACATAAAAACAATTTGGAAAGCAGAAGACAACCAAGGAGCCACCTGCTCCTCCTACATCCAAACTAAGCTGTCAGCTATGGACAAGGGAACCTGAGCAATCTTTTGTGCTGCTCGATTACTAATTGTAGGTAGATATTGACAAGATATTTATCATGCCACAAACAAAAGATGAGCCTCCCCGACAAATTACAGAACAAATTGAAGGAAAAAAAAACAGAAGATGAGCCTCCCCGGCAAGTAAGATGAGCTTGCCTGGTTCCTCTAGCCAAGCAAGTAACAGATTTGTAAATCTTGTTGGCAAATATCATCATAATTTTTGTTTTTGTTTTTGGCTTTTTTGGTTTTTTTTTTTGTTTTGTGTGCAAAGATTCAAACCATGTAAATACAATTTTTTAAAATCGTGAATCTGTCAACCCTCATAGTCAGAGAAATACTGATTTTTAATAACGACAGTAGTAATTAACGTACAAAATTGTTCTCATAATCATGAAAAAATTGCAAACCAATATCTCATACAATCATATCTATAAAGTTTGACATTTAGCTATGTAATTCGTGACCTGATAATCCAAGATTTAACAGCATCCACCATATTATTATCATTTGCATGGAAGTCTACTACTCTTACCTTTTGCTAACTTGGAGACATTTGATCTTCATAACCATTTCAACGTCTTCTCCTTTGGTTTATGTAAACATGTCTTCCTTGATTGCCAAGTCTTTGATGCAGCTGAGGGAACATCTTAAAGATGATGTTAAGCGTAGCTTTGTAATACCAATTCCTCCATCTCTTGTAAAAGGCAAGTGATCCAATGGCAACTCCGAAGCCAAATACAAATCCAATTTCAACACTGATGAGATCCCAATTAATCTCATGTCCAGAACTTCGACGGCTTTCAGTCGATGCTGGTGGTGGCACCGGCAATCCTGGTTTGTCGTCTGCGGTCAAAGGAGGCCCCCATAAGCCTTTGTTACCTGCAAAGGTGGCTTTTGGAAAAGTTGAGAACTGAGTGCTGGTTGGGATCCTACCAAACAGTTGATTGTTTGAGAGATTCAAGAATGAAAGGAAGGTAAGCTTTGCAAGCCGTGGTGGAATTTGCCCGCTCAGGTTGTTCTTCGACAGGTCTAAGGACTCGAGCACTCGCATGTTACCGAATGATGATGGGATTTGTCCTGTGAAAGTATTGTAGGACAAGTTGAGGACATAGAGTGATTTGAATTCTCCCATTTCCTCAGGTATTGATCCGTTGAATTCATTGCACGAGAAGTCAATCAAGGTGAAGAAGGTTCGAATCTTTACCAGATCCCTTTCTGAACCTTTGCTGGTAATTGTTACTGCATCGTCATAGTAAAGCAGACTTCCAACTCCCCCGTCGTACTGAAGTCCCAGGTTATATAGGGAATCGTTTTTGTTAACCATCATTTCTTTCCATGTTTTCATAGATGTTCCTGGTATTTCACCACTCAAATTGTTGTAAGCTAAGTCTATGATTTGAAGCATTGGCCAGGTGCCATTGGCCTCGGGACATCCAATGCGTCCATAAAATTTGTTGGATCGCAAAACAAGAACACGCAAGGTGGATCTTTTCTTCAGCAAGCATGGAAAGGTATCAGTTATCTGATTGTTTCCAAGGTTTACATACTCCAACCGTGTACAGTTGACTCGAGACTTTGGAAACTGACCTTGTATCTGATTTCTGCTAAGGTCTAGACTTTGTAGACTGCAAAATTCATTGAATTTATCCCGGATAGGGCCAGTAAGGTTGTTGCTTCTCAAATTAAGTACTGACTGCTGAGTCAAGCATTCCAGAATCATGCCACTCAGAGAATTATTGGACAGATCAAGAACCAGAAGATTTGCATTGCATATTGATGGTGGAATGATTCCATGCAAGTTATTGCTTGACAGAGAGAAGACAGCAATTTTAGGAAGGAAATGACCAATGTCAGCTGGTATACTAGAGCTGAAATTATTTCTGGAGTAATCCAGATAAGTGGCTGATGATAGGAAAACTGGGATTTTTCCCTGAAGATTGTTTGAACTAAGGTCAAGAATGATGACAGAAGTTAAGTTAGTTAAAGGACCTTGTAGAGTTGCCAAGGAGTTGTAAGAAAGATTTAGTTTAAGAAGAGAATTGAGCTTCCAAATCCAGTTGGGTATCTCGCCTTGAATCTCGTTTTCTGAAAGGTCCAAATCGTTTAATCTGGATTGATTTCTCAAGAAGTCTGGGAACGCCCTCAACTTGTTAGAGGACAAGACCAAGCGGTTAATTTGAAGGAAGGACGAAGATGTTGGACTGCTTCCATTGTAATCAATCAAGCCATTGTTGGAAAGATCAAGAAACGAAAGATTTTTAGGCTGCTGAGGACCGTTGAAAGGAAAGCCACTGAAATGGTTTGAAGAAAGCCTAAGCTCTTGAAGCCCTCTAAGATTAAAGATAGAAGTAGGTATTGGTCCTACCAAATGGTTGCCACTCAAATCAAGGGTGTCCAGTAAATTTGAAGAGATGTTGGCAAATTCGGGTAATTGACCGTAGAATTGATTATGCGTAAGTACTAGTTTCTGCAGCACAGGAAGAGAAAAGAGAGATAATGGAATATTCCCATGGAGTAGATTGGAGTCCAACATGAGAACTTCCAGATTAGCAAGGTTTGCCACTGAGTTTGGGATTGATCCAGTGAAACTGCAATCTGAGAAGTCTAGTGTACACAACATTTTATGGTTGCCAATAGATCTTGGCAGGAACCCTGAAAATTTTGACCTGCTTAGATTTAGGGATCGGAGAGATCCATTGTTAAGAAATTCTGGCAAGGAACCCTGAAGCCGGGGATTCCATGAAAGGTCAACTTCCTGCAGTGTAGTTATCTGGAAGATCTCTTCAGGAAACGTCCCGTACAAGTTACATCCAAGGAGACTTAAGGAAGTCAAGCTTGAAAAGTTGGCAAAGAATCCAGGAACTGGAGCAGAGATATCGTTATGATCCAATAGAAGCACGGATAGAGACTGGAGCTTAGCAAAAGACTGATGAATAGGGCCTGAAATATTACACCTGCACAAGCTCAACACCTTCAAGTTTGGCAGTGAAGATGATATTGCTTGGCTCCAGTGAGCCCCATGTGCTGATGATATGTTTACATCATCAAGATATAACTCTGTAAGCTCTGTGAGGTTCTGAATGAGCATGCTTAGATTTGGATTCTTAAGTTTTAAATTTTCGGATTGAGTGCCAAAGGAGAAACTTTCGGATTGAACTTCAATGAAGAAATTTTCAGAAAGATCAAGGGTAACCAACTTTGTCAAGTGTGAAATCCCAATGGGAATTTGCCCGAAATAAGCATTAAAGGATAAATTTAGATACCTCAAATTCGTAAGCCTTCCAATTGCAGACGGAATTTGAGAGCCCTGAATATAGTAACTGTGGGCCAAGTTGAGGCTTTGAAGATGCTGAAGATCAAAGAGAATGCTGGAATTGTCAATGCCACCTGAGATAAATTCGTCACTAATGTCAAGACCAATAACAAGGCCATCAGTGCAACTAACTCCTGCCCAAGAACAGAGCCGGTCCATTGATTTTGGAGGCCCTGTGCAAATATGGATGTCGATGCCCTATATATACAAGTAGGAAGAAAAAAAAATCCATATAGAAACAAAATTTCTGACATGGGAAGAACACATTCGGAAAGAGCTTCCCAGAAAAATTTCTTTAGTCACCCTTCCAAATTACAGAGCTGATAAATTGATTTTCCAATTTCAATGCTTGGTGAATTCTCATGTGAATAAGGGAGGGAGAAAAGAACTGTGATTTTGGGAAAAAGGCTAAAGCTTGGGTTTTTACAATCCAAAATTTGATGGAAGAGGGTGGTACACTGGTACTGAAGAGAAATGACTTTATTTTGATGGAGGAGAGTGAGAAAGACTTACTAAAAGAGAAAAGAATATTAGAATGGTTTTGCAGCTTGAGAGTTGGGAAGAGGAAAACACAGGTTTCAAATCATAATAAATAAATAAAAAGAAGAGTTGCAGCGTGAGAGTTGGGAAGAGGAAAATGAATTAAGAATTACTTCCTTTTCTAGGGAGACAATTGTTTCTTCTTTCTGCTACCATTGACTCCTTGTGATGCACATCAAACAGATAAAAAATTTGAAGGCAGAATTGCAGGATCCTAATTATGGCTCACTACCATCAATGCTCCCTGAATAATAAATATTTTTAAGATCAGGGAGAAGAAGAAAAGCAACATAGCTCTCTCAGAAGCCCCTTATACCAGATAACTCATTCATGATTTTACGTGTGTGAGAAAGAGCAATGTAGAGGGTACACTTCGGTCTAGAAGTTCTTGGATTTCTAAAATTAACATGAGTGAATGACTATACGTGTTGCCAGTAACATTTGGTTTGAGGTCTTATCTTGTCAATGAGTACAACAAGTTGTCATGATTCTACATTTGAATTGTTCATTAATTTGAAAAATTTTAACTGAGAGCAAAAATGGCTATTTTTCATGACTGTTGAACTACATTTGCATGCTAAAAGTGACATGGTGAAACACAACCTTGAATCTGAATTCCATAACTACTTATAACTGATTCCTGTAAGGAACTGCAAAGTACTTGGAAATCAAATTTATATGCTTGAGTTACCTCATTTGGATGCTCATAAGCTCATTATCGGCCTCACCAACAGTACATGTCCAGCTTTTAGCATTTTGAAACCTTCCAGAGAGTGAAAGGAAACAAGACTTTGATAATGGACATGTACAAACCATGTGCAGTACATATGACGATAGAATCAGAGTAGTCAAAGAGAAAGCAATGCGTAGGATGATGGGCTTTGATCCAACAACTGCAGAATTTGCCATCAACCCAAACCACTTCTCTACTTGCAGTTTAGAAACTGGACCGAGGAGGTCCTCCAGAGTGATGGTTTTTAATAGTATAGGAGTCTTTGATATTGACAAAATCGAAGGAGAATAGGACATAAGTTCAAATAGCATATGTCCAGTAGGTTCGCATTGAAAACCAGAAACCATTTCCTCTGATTCAGAAGAAATGTTAATTCTTCTCCTGGTATTGAAGAACAGGTCTGGCTGTTTCTTACTAAAGGAGACAAAGAGGCTGCCTTTATGTCCGACTGGTAAATCTTTGACCGCCACAATCAGCACCAACCTGAATATGAATCAGGACGAAAAATAAAGGGTTTAAACATTGATAGACCAACATTTACTGGTAGAAGCAGTGTCTATTTCTTGCAATCCAAGTAAAAATAAAAAAAGTGTGGGAGATGAAGACGTTGAAATCCTGTTAGGAAGCTGAATGATATCTTGGTATCAATCATATACAACTACCTTCTTTCTCACTGCTTGTAATTGCAGTTGGCTGAGACAGTGAGACTGATGGTGAGAGGAGATGGAGCACCACCATGGTACATTGCTCCCGCTCTCCAGTACCTTGTGCTAAAGATCTCTTCCCATTGCTTGGTTATCTCAGAAAACCCAACATCTAGCTTTTGACAATTGGTTCTGTCAGAATCTGTGTCATCATGCTCTAACACCTTTCGCATTATTGCCACAAGATCTTTATCGTAAGAAGCAGGATGCAATTGGTGAGAGTGCCAGATGAGGTCAATGTCATAAGTTGGAACGCAAGTGCTTAATAGCCCTATCTCTGTTTCTTTTGATCATATGCAAAAAACCTTTATATCCGGCAACAGCTCCCTTGAGCAAGAGGTTGTCATTCACATAAGATCTAGATACCTGTTAGGATTGTTGTACATGCATTAGATAATTAACTTGGCAAATATACGAGACATTGTTAACAGAAGGAGAAAAGAGGAAGTTTCTAGTATGAGACATTATACTGAGCATATTTCAGAGTCTTGCAATATGCATTTCATAAAGAAATCCTTGGAGCAGAATAAGAAATTTAATGGCCACTTATACCGCTTGATATGTATTCCACTAATTATGAATCAGATACATTGATATTTGAAATGAGTACCTGATAACAGAGCGCGGGATTTGCCTTCTGACTGCTGAAACTAGCATACTTGGTGCTTTCTGAAGCTGCATAAATCTTTCGTATACGATACAGTTTGTTCCAAATTTCTTCTGTTTTCGTTTTGCAAGTTCTCTGAGTTGAAGATACAACATTCTTGTTGTCCAGGATTCTCCTGTAGAGACTTGCACAATCAATCACATAACGCACCTGGAAAACCAACAAAGTAAATGCAGATAAGTATAGTTGTGACCAAACTAGGAGAATTTAGTGTTATGACAGAAGATCATGTGCCTATTCATGCACACACACTCAAGAAAGTGTGAATTTTAATCTGAGAAATCTAACGGGTTGAGCCTATGACAATGCCAAATCCATTCACAATCAAGAGGCACAACTAGAGGACCTTCTGAGACCTGAAATTCAGCATATTTGTACCTGAAATTAGCAGAGGAAACAATTCACAACAAATCTTGAATTGTTTTTATTTAATGGATCAGAAGGAAAAGAAAAAAGAAAGAATATATCCTATAGACATTTGATGAATTAGAAGATTCTGAAAGTTTATTTTCTTTCTTAAATCAGTAATTTTATTTTTCTTTGGACCATAAGGTTGTTAAGATGGGATTGCTCCCAAGACAAACAAAGACAAATGGCTGCAAAAACAAGGTGCTGGGAGTTGTGACCATGAAGTAATTTAAGCTATGAAAATTCATGTACTGTGAGTAACACCACAGCAATAGCAACAAAATCACTTTTTAATCTGCATACCGGTTAATGGCCTTGTACAAAGCAGGGCTGTCATAGAGATGCCGGTTTCGATCAACAACAGCAAGAAATTGCAGCTGCTGTTTAGCTGCAGCCACAAGGTCTCGGCTTATCACAATCTTCTGCGCTTCAGACCACTCTAGTTCTTGCTTCCTCTCCATTCCTCCCTAAAAAAGGAAAGTACCAACCAAACAAGAAAAGCATAATATATGTTGGTTCAGTTCATTCGACTATAACATCACATAAGAAAATATGGTACTCACGAGTTGTATGTGAGGTCCATAAGGTTTGTTTTTTGAGTACAAGTGATAGTCTAAATGAAAACCAATAAAAATGTGTATTTTCTATATGTACAATACAGGCCTTCACATGAAGGTTCACATGGATAAATTGTGGGGATTGTTCTGTGCCTCAATTTAGATAGGGGGAAGGGATACAGCAAAGTTCGAATTAATAAGGACTTTGGATTGTGCTATCAATTTGATCAATCGAGTTTCTTTCTTTAAAAAAATAAAATAAAATAAAAGAAAATGCATTAATAAGAAAGAGTAATTTCAAACACCAGGCTACCATTCCAGCCACACTAGCTGATAGGAGCTACCAATCTCAAAGTATTACTTCAAAAAGTCTTTTTGTTTTAGGCATTTGGCCCCTCCATGCACGAAAAGTGGAATGGTCTACCATTTCTCTTTACCCAGGTCCAATACTAAGATCAAACCTTATTTTTTCGGAGGTGTGCTGTCTTGGTCCTCATCATCATCATCATCGTCATCGTCGTCCTCATCCTCATCCTCATCCTCATCCTCATCCTCGTCATCATCGTTGTCATCATCATCACTCTCATCGTCCTCATTGTCCTTATTGTCGTCGTCATCATCATCAACATCGACAGAAAATCTTCTTTGGGGACTCAAGTATGGGATGGAATAACATTTATCAAACGAATCCTTTTCATTGATAAATTTGTCATTGACTAGACGGATCCCTATTTTCTTCACCCAGAAACCTGGAATTTCTGCAAGAACATCCACGGAGTCGCCCCCTTCCAAATTCAACTCATAGTTTGATAAATGTCCAAGCCAAAGAAAATCTTCACTGGAAGCTACTAGGAAGTTTATTTTGGCTACGAAACTAGCACACTTGGTATGATTAATAACACAAAAGGAAGCAGTAGTTAACTTGGCATCACAAGAACAATAAACCATGCATATAGCCAACGATGTTAAACTACAACCAAGAGGCACTTCAAAATGGACTTGGCCACCTTCCCCAACATGCTTGAACCACTGGGGAATATCACTTCCACCTAGAATAAGTTGAGTAGGTCCATTCCACCCCTATACAATGTTGAGAAAGATTTGCATGAGCAATAAATATAACACATATTGTGCATAAGCAATAGATATACACGCATGTTGTAAGCGTTGCAAAACAATAAATATATCACATCTTACTGAGAAAGCACTTAGAAGCGCTTCTGAGCAATTATTTGATAGGTGCTTCTTAAGAAAGCACGAAAAAATGCTTTTAGAACTCATTAACACTAGTAACTATTTCTGTCAAACAGTTCCAATTAAGCACTTTTAGTTGTCTGAAAACACTTCACGTTGGTCTGTTAAGATTTTAAAGATAACATCAATTATACGTACATACATATATATAGAGAGAGAGAACCTGTAGCATGCTCTCCTCAAGAAGGGTATCACTGATATTATTGCGCCTTTTCATTGATAATGACATGCCCAAGTTTAACGCCTTATCCAAGCCTGGAAACTCAACGAGTTTGGGGGAATCATCTATTTCCACATTTTCCGGTGGCATTTCTGAAAATTTTGGCATTCTTTCCAATGCAGTGCAATGACTGGCGAATAGGTTTTCCATACCTGTTGGTAAATCTTTGATTTCACGAAGGTTTGTGCAATGATCCAAATACAGATTTTCAAGCTTGGCAAGGCCACTCAGGCTTGGAAGGGTATGAAAATGATTGAATCGAAGGCCTAAGTTGCACAAAGAAGATAGACTCCCAAGATTCATAGAATCAACTGCATCATCGGTTAAATTACAGTCATCCAATGATAGCATTGCAAGGTTGGAAAGGCCACTGAGGTTTGGAAGGCTATGAAAACTATTTTGATGTAGATATAATCTTTTTAATGAGAATATACTCCCAAGATCCTTAGGAAGCGCATTTAAATTGCAGTTGCTAAGAGATAAATGCGTTAAAGAGCACAAACCCCGTAACGAAGGAGGTAGCTGCAAAGACCGTTTCAGTTCACACATAGACAATTGTTCAAGCTTCTTCAGACGTACTATGGAAGATGGTACACTTGTTATGGCTGTCTTATCTGCAAGAAAAGTTGTCAATGATACCAGCTTCCCTAACTTCTCATCCAAGATTTCAAATCGTGAACAACCATTAAGAACAAGAGTTCTAACAGATTTCAACTTATAGAAACTCTTTGGGAGACCCTTAAGCATTTGGCAGTCTTTCAAATTTACCAAAGTAAGATTTTTGAGATCTCCAATGGACTTGTGAACCTTGGACAAACTCTTACAATCTTTGAGTATCAAGTTCTCAAGATTTGGGAGTTTTGAAAAGTCTGGTGATTGTGTTAAGTAATGAGAATGACTGAGATTTAGAATCTTCAACTTCTCGAGCAGCTGTTAGACAAAACCAAAGTAATTAAAACATAAATCAAAATCCAAAAAGAAGAGAAAGAGAACATGATGCTATGTACAATACCAGAAGGAAGGAATTGATGATTTCATTGAGGCCACATTGCACGTACCTCCGAATCCGTACAAAGAACTTGTCTGAGGTTAGTATATTGCATGTCAATAGCAACTATGTTTGTCTGACACAAGTCCTTTGGTATGAACTCTAGAGGAAATCCATACCAGCAGAGCCATCTCAAATTTTTGGAAAGATATTTGTATTCTCCAGTGAGCTGCACGTAGTTGAGTTTGAGCAATCTCAGTCTCTTCATATTTGTAAATGCTTCTGTACTGAAACTAGTCTCTTCAATACTTGGCAAATTTAAAGCAAGTCCTTCAATTTCTTCAGTTCCCTGTTAAAAGAAAAAAAAATACTCTAAATAAGAACATTATTTGCATAAAAAATGGTTGATACACCACAAATTAAATCACTTTTCCTTTATTCTCTCTTAGATTATACAGTCATATGTATAATGAAATCGGCTTGTTTACATACACATTGAGAGCATACAATTTATTGGATGTCACGTGCATAAAATTTGATTGAGAGAGTACTTACAGATTTGTTTATCAATACTGATTTTACATCTTCAGGATGCCACAATCTACAACGTTTTCCAGGATACTTAGGAGACTCTGCACGCTCGATTTCTCTGCCCATGTCTCGAAGCAAATCATGCATCATCAACTTGTTTTTTTCATCAACAATTACAAGGCAGCGTTCAAGCAGGACCTTGATTCCTATTTCCGCAAAAAAGCCACAACCATCCAATATTTGTGTGACATAGTTCTTGTCCATTCCAATAAAGAAACAAGCTATATCACGGAATATATCCCTCTCGTAGTCATCGCTTAGCCCATCATAGCTTATTTTGAGCTGATTATGAATTTCATGACAAGGAATTTTTTTCAATTTACCCAATGTACTTTCCCATTCTCCTATGCTTCTTGTACCCAAAAAACAACCTAAAACTTGAAGAGCCAGTGGCAATCCTCCACAGTAATCAACAACTTCTCTTGCGAGCTTGAAAAATCCTTGATTTGGAGAACCATTTTTAAAGGCATGCCAGCTAAGTAGCTCAAGAGCTTCTTCTTCTTCCATTGGTTGCACTCGATATATCTGGTCGACTTCAAGTGTATTTAGAAAATGTTCATCTCTTGTTGTTATAATAATTCTACTCCCTTGACCAAAGGTGTCATGTTTTATAGCTAAAGCATCTAGCTGCTCCACACAATCTATATCGTCAACTATGACAAGTACCTTTAAGCTTCCAAGCCTTTTTCCTATCACATTGATCCCTTCAGCAACACTACTTACCTTTATCTTGGTTGGTTTCAAGATATCAGAAAGAAGTTGTTTTTGCAGGCCAACCAGTTGCTTTTCCCTCACCCTTTCAAGGAAACTTTTACCATCAAACCTATCGTAAAATTCGTTATATATGGCTTTTGCAACTGTTGTTTTACCCATTCCGCCCATACCGGAAATTCCTATTATGCGAACATCATCAAATCCAACGCCCAAACATTCACTGATAGCTTGCACGCGAAAATCTATTCCAACCTGGTAGGGGGCTACATGTAAGTAGGTGTTGTTCAATCGTCTGGTGATCTCCTTAATGATATTCCTTATAAAATTTGCTTCATGCCTGGTATTATGTAAGTTCAAATTAAAGCAAAACTAGAATTGTTAAACTACAAGAGCAAATTAAACTCATACCTTATTCATCGAATTGATATAAATCAAAATCTTCGAGTTCTGTAAAACTTTTTAATAATATAACACTTGTTGACCCACTTTCTAATAACTTAAGTTATTGGAGCATTTACATGTAGACCTAGCAGTTTAAGCTTTATTATTATAATCATTCAAGGTATCGCATATAAATAGAGGCCTAAGAAAACCAATTCATGTACATGATGTTGGCAATTAAATTTTTAAAAACAGAATTTAAGAAAAGAACTCATAGCTGTGTGTAAGAACTTGGTCAAGGAAAAGAAACAAAAAGAATTAAAATTAAAACTGTCCAAGGAAATTTAGTAGTTACCCATCCAGAGTGTTTCTAAGATCCCAGCCAGATAAAGTTGCAGCTTCATGAAGAGCAGCTCTCCACCTCTGTACCTTATTATGATCTGTATCTCTGTGTTTATGAAATGATTGTGCAAAACTACCAGTCTGTTTCCTGACATCTGAGGGATCAACATCATAGAATATTGGCAAAACTATTTGCCCAAGTGTTCTTTTACACTCCATGATCTTAACCAGCTCCTCAAGACACCATCCGGAATCCGCATACTGGCTGGAGAAGATGATGACAGAGATCCTAGACCCTTGGATTGCCCGCACAAGTTCGGCTCCTATATCTTCCCCTCTTCTTAACTCATCATCATCAATAAACGTGTTGATTCCAGCCTCTTTTAGTGCCACGTAGAGGTGGCCTGTGAAGTTTTTGCGTGTGTCTTCGCCTCTAAAGCTTATGAACACGTCGTACCTCCAACGTTTTGAGGAGGAGGATGATGAGGATGAAGAGGAGGCTTCATCGGTTTTTCTGGTACGCATTGGTTGCATAGAAGAACACTAAGCTACCACATGTCAATAATAGTGAACATCAATTGAATTTGAAATGTCAAAAAACACAATCATATAAACATATCTATGCACAAATTAGTAACACAAACTCTATACCTTCTACCTAGTTCCTCTATTGCACGGCCCAAAGAGAAGAATGAAAATATTAGAGCAGTAGAGCAGGTTCTCTTCTTTGAGGCATTTTGTCAAACAACTTGCTCCCATTCCATACAAAATTTCATGAAAACTTGACACCTTCATAGGTAAAAGAACATAATTGGCTTCACTCATATGCCGTTGACTCCATACAGAGGTGTAGGGTTGGGTGATGCGCCTATGCCGACGGCTAATGAATGATAGGAATCAAGATGTACCAAACTCTGTTGTTTGATACACAGAAGGAAAAAAAAAGGGAAACTCTGCTAGCTGTTTAATAGTATAGTATTATTTTAGAATAAATTCCAATCAATGAAAAAAACAAATGTTCGATGCATAAAGAAGCAATTGTTGTCCAAAGCAAGGACTGGGAAGTGTGAAAGATTTGTTTTCTTTTTTCTTTTTGACTTGCAAGTCTTTGTCAATGTGTTTTTATAAGACTTATTTACTCACTTTGTCTTTCAAATTTAAAGTAGCTCACTTTCCCTACTTGCTTAAGATTTGGTGACCTATTTTGTTATTTGCTGTCAATTTCATCTAAAACTATGTTAAATCTGATCAAGTGATAGGGATAGTTTTGTAAGTTCGTACACATGGATCATTATCCACCAATTAGATGGGTGACGTGGCAAGTGGAGCCGCCTCCACATAGATAAAAACATAATTAAATATTCTAATATTTAAAAATGACTAAAAATTAAAATAAATCAGGAAAAAAAAATCCAAATAATTAAAAATCCTCCATCATTATCATCTCTACAGCACCATCTCTACAACCACATCATCATCTCTACAGTACCAACAACACCATCCCTCCATCATCACCTCTACAGCACCAACACCACCATCCCTCCAGCCCATAAACCCACAAATTACCTTGCTGGAACGGAGGATCAGGGAGATAGAAAAAACCCCCCCACCCAAAAAAAAAAAAAAAAAAAAAAAAAAAAAAAAAACTAGAGTCAGTTCTAAATGATATCCCTGGAGCTCTACTTTTCGGTGTTTGCTTTTGTCTAAAACTGGAAAGAAGTTTCAAACTTCAAACCATGGGGAGCTTCCTCCATCCAACACTGAGCTTGGTTTTTTTATATAAAAGGAAAACCAAGATCGATGCTCGAAAAAGAAAGAAAAAAAAGAGAATTATGGGATTGATGCCAGCCCCCCTCCAATTGGGATTTCTTCTCCCCCATCTCCCCATGACCACACGTCGACCTCGCTCGACTGCCACGACATCGTCGTCCCCAACCCCATCACCACCGCATCCCATTTTGACCATGAGACTGCGGTCAAAACCTCACACGGAACCTCGCTCATGTCTCTGTTCTTGGCGAGTTGCAAGAGAGATGACGATGAGGAAAAGATGCCAACTTTGGCTTCTGAGAAGAGGAACAGAGCCAATGGTGGAAAAGCGCTGGTGGGTTTTGTCGATTGGGTTTGTGGGTGTGTTATGGTTTAGGTTGTTTTTTTGGTTGAGCTTGTGTTGAGGTGCTCGATTTTTGGGGTTTGGAGAAGGGGGTTTCAAATAGATAGGGGGAATTGTGTTTGGGAGTCGGGGGATTTAGGGTCTGGAGATTGGGTTTTGGTCTTGGTTTATTTGGGACGAATGATGATGGAGGTTTTTTAATTATTATTATTATTTTTCAATTTTTAGTTATTTTTAACTATTATAAAATTTAATTATTTTTTTATATACAACCCTTGGACATTGGACATTGGAAACTCTAAATGATGCAGTGAACCAGAAGATTACGTTTCTATATACAACCCTTCCTGCTTCCGTCTAAAATGGTGGACTGCGAGATTGGGCAAATGGGGACTCAAATCAAGGAGAGCTTAGTTTATACAAATGCATTTATCCTCCAGTTAACAGCAGTAGTGCAATTGGCAGCGCAGAAGAAAAATTGACAACAACCATAGATATAAAAATTATGAGACTCTGAATAAATTAGAAATTAAGGTATCTATAACCTAATTAATAAATTCAATTTCCAAATATAATGCATGAGGAAAATCATCATAAATGGACACATGGACAGAAGTGTGTGTCAAGAGGCGGCGAAAGAGGAACACTGGTCACAACATGATTTGGGTATAGAGAGAAAAGCCCTGGAAAAATTCACTCCATTGAAGAGATTACAACCGTACAACTCAATCTTTCACAAAGACATATATATAAAGTGATTTACACTATAACGAATCAAAGAATTGGTTTCAGGGGCAAGAAACCAAAAGAATCTCTAAGAAGTACGTGCTAATTAACAGTCATGGCTGATACATGAAATGGAGGAGCCCGTTTGCCCATTTTGGCTACTGCTACAAGTGCTTGCACCGTGTCTACATTGTTGAACCTCCACCTTTGTCTTGCCAACCTTAACAAGTGCAAAGCAAAACTGGGATTTACACTTGATCGACCAGCGATGCACTGTGTCATCAGACGTCTTCAGTGAATTTACTTTGGCAGTTGAGAGAGTGTGACCGTTTGTCCCATTTTGGCTACTGGTAATTGCACCAAGTCCACTTTGATCAACCTCCATTGTTGTGGTGCTAACTTTAACAAGTGCAAAGCCAAGCTTGTTGGAGTCATCTCGGAATGACCATAGCTGCAGTGTATCACCGGTCTTCAATTTGTTTGCCTTGGCAATTTCTCTCCAACCTGAAACCAAATTGTACACAATACTACCTCCCATGGTCCATTTCTTGAGGCGTAAAGTGTACTCCTTTAGAGATGGATCCAACACTTTAACAGGTATACCAACAAGATGCTTCTGATTGTGACCATCACGTAGCTTCAACTCAGTCTGATCCTTTTCGCTAAGAAAATCCTCTTTAACTTGTTTCATCGGTATGGAAAACCGTTGGTTATTGTCGGCCACATCAGTATCAAAAAGTTCCTTCTCGATCACCAATTTGAGGTCTCCACCACCAATGCTACTAATCCTGTTTTTCATGTCTTGAGGCATCTCTCGTTTCAGTGATGATGGTGACTTTATATCTGCAGTACTTTTGACATGAACCAGTTTTTGTTTCTTTTGCACTAGTGCTTCATTGTTGTTGTCTTCATGACCATGATCACTCCCAGAATGAGCAGAAAGCCTCTTCCTTTTCATATTCATACAACTTATACTTGGGACAGAATCATGAGAAGCATGTGGCAAAAACCTTCTTTGAGTCCTCCTTATACTTGACCTTTTCTTCTTGGGTATGTTAATGTCACTGAAGTGGAATGTTTTGAACTCTGACCTTTTCTTTTTAGCACAGAAATCGATGAATTCTGCAAGAACAACTTTTTCGTCAAAAACCCACGTGGTTGTGAGTCCATTCCCATCCCCCAACTCCATCAATTGTTGGGTTGCAACTTCAGCCAACATATCCAAGGAAGAAGAAGAAGACGATGATGATGAAAAAACCCTTTTGTTTTGCTTGACCATGGCCTTCTGAGGAATCAAACACCCATCAAATCGATATCCATGAAGTGGGTTGCAGCAGCAACTTCTCACGGCCATGGCCATGGCCTTCTCAACATCATCTTCCTCCCAATTTTTGACAACAACAGAAACCTCAGAGAGAAGATTCAACGAATTTGAATCATACCCAAATTGAAAATCACCCTTCATTCCCATAACCAAAATGCAAAAACAGAACTTTCACCTAAAAGATTAAGAACACGGAAATAAACCCAACTCAGAAAAGAAAGGGATAAATTCAAAAAGGATCAGAATGAGACAATGGGGTTAGGGTTTCAACTCAACAGAGACAGAGAAAGAGAAAGCGAACAAGTTTGCAAATTGTGATCAGAGATTAATAATAGTTGGGAAGATTCACTGTAAGGCGGTTTTTAAACCCAACGCTCAAGTGCTCTCTCTCACTTCACTTTGTAGCTGTGTCTGTGTGTAATTCCATATCAGATTAGGATTGTAGTTGCTTTGGCCCCAATTAATTAACCACCCAAATATTTTCCGACCGTTGGAGATAATACCTGAAAGCGCGTTAACGCGGTTTACTTCAAATTAAAGCTGCCACAAAGCACCAGTTTTCTCTCTTTTCCCCATTCTATTTGTATTTGTTATTTGTGCCTGTTTACCACTTGAATGATGAATTGCCCCATCCACATATTTATTTTAGTTTTTGTACACTTCAGCAGCTCAGCCTGTTCCTTTTCTTTTGTTTTTTTTTCTTCCTATTTTCCTTCATTTTATTCAAAGATACAATTGTTCAATTTTTGTTTTGTTAACCATGTGTTTCAGTTAAGAAATTGTTAAGTCATCATGTGCAGCTCACGTGCTCTCTGTTGAGTCTGTTAGTGTGATATTAGGAGATAAGTACTGTACTAAAGCTGAGCTTTTACAATTCCATTAGTCAAGATCTGAAATACAAGATTATACAGCTATTTTCCTTCTTGCTTCCTCTCTATCTTCTTCTATTGAAATCCCTTAATCTCATCCTCTTCTTGTTTAGATGTTTTTGTTTTTTTTAAGAGGTAAATTTTATAGCTAGTTTCATATAAGGAGTTAATAATGAAAAAAAAAAAAAAAAAAAAAAAAAAAAAAAAAAAAGAAGAAGAAGTAAATATATATTGTCTTGTGAAGAGTTATTTACACTAACACCCTTGTGATTTTTGGGTTTTTCACAAAACCACTTGAGGTTTTAGAAATTACTTTAACACTCCTTGAGGTTTTAAATTATTTTCACAAACCCCATTTTCGTTGATTAGTCTAAAATTTGATGATTTCATTTAAATTTTTTTACAAAATGACAAGGTTAGCCTCAATGAATGCATGTGCAATATAATCTTGAAGGCTAACTTTGGTATTTTGAGAAATTTTTTTTTATACAAATCATCAATACTTGGAGGAAAAATCAACAAAAAGGGTTTTTGTAAAAATAATTTAAAATCTTAGGAGGTGATCGTATAATTTTTGAAACCTCAAGGGGTTTTGTAAAAACACAACAATAAAAAAGGGCATGGAGTGTTAGTGTAAATAACTTGTCTTGTGAATTAAATGTTTTTTCATCAATTGCATATGTTTTTTCACAGTGTTTTTATTATATATATATATATACATGGCAAAAAAAAAATCTATACACATAAGCAGAGGCCTCAAATGGAAAAATATTCAAAAATCCGAAAAATACCATACTTGCTTGCTTGTAAATTTCTAGTGTAGTTTTTGTTTTTATATTTACTTGTAAAAAACCCAATTATAGTATTTATGTAGAATCAAATTGTGGCATGTCTTCTGTTATAGATTGCAAGACAGACCCAGAATTTTAAAATGGGGTGGGCTAGATATACCTTATTGAACTGTTAAATTTTAAGCTTATGGAATTGATCATATGTGCATATATATATATATATATTTAATTTAAGAACATATCTTTTTTTTTTTTTTTTTTTTTTTTTTTTGTTTAAATTTTAAAAGCCATCACACAATGCCAGCTAAGGTCGGCCATGATTAAAAAAAATTCATAAAATGAAAATTTATCATTACAACGATAGAGTCAGATAGATACTTGGCAACTAGAAGTAACACTACAATTATTCAATTAGTTTAAATTAATATTTCTGTTATAAATGGGATTAACATTAACACTAACTAAAAGAAATAAATAAATAAAAACTCACCTGACCTCAAACCACACAAACTTGCCATGCAGGTTTTAAAGCTTTTCAATCCCAGCAAAGTGTTTTGCCCCTTTTTTTTAACTTTAATAACCAAAAATAGTTTTGTAGCTAGTTTAAGGTACGGAGCAGGAGGTGATGAGTTAACCACGGGGGAAGCAAGTACAAAACAAGTCAAACATGTCTGATAGTAAAATTGACCAAAATAGCCTGCATAAAATTTGAGCAGGGATTAACGTCCCTCGAAATTCCTTGGCAAAAGTACAAGAATGTGGTCTATTTATGTGGTCTGCACTGTCGAGTCCAATAATGGGAAACCAAAAACCTATACATAAATAAACAAGTTAAAGTTAGTGGAGAGTGGGGGGGCTAACCCACTTTTGCTTGTGAGAAGATTGGATGTTTTTTTCAAACATTAGGTGCTAAATTCCTGTCATCGCATCATTAAGGAAAGCAATTAGCAACAAATCTTATCCCAATGCTTCTTTTTCTACTTTTTTATTTTTATTTTTTATAATCTTTTTTAATTTTCAAATTAAATTGAAATGAATGAGAGAGACGAAAGCATAGAAGAGTTACGTTGAGTGCACGAGTTACTTTTTCTGAATTTTTAATTTTTAATTGAGACATGTACAAATATATCTTGTGTAAATACAAACTACAAAACGTTTTCGCTTTTTTCTTTTGAAAATTCAAAACCTTTTTTATATTGTTTGAAGGCACTTTTACAAGTCTTAAATGGCCGGCTCTTAGCATTACTTATTTATTAATCTATTGTAATAGTTTCCATCTAATTAAAAAAAATTAATGAGTGAATGATATCACATTTCAAAGAGGTATCCAAACTGCTTACCATGTTAGAGGAGTTTAATTAATTCTATATTTTATTTTTTAATGAAACGTTAATCACACAAAAACCATCAACTTCAAACAATTCATTATCCATTGTATTTTCTCAACAAAGAAAACAGTTCGTTGCAATTTATTATATAATAATTCTGGCCAAACAAGAAAAAAGGAAAAGCAGCTTATGTATTAAATATAATTAATTGTAAATTTTTTCCAAATTTTGGTATCAAAAAGCACGAAATCCAGGGCGGGGAATCATGGCCGCTGTCCTGAGGAGGACAAAGCGTAAAGATCCCAGAGACAAATGTGTCCAAGAGAGAGAGAGTCAGTCGTAAGCAGCAAAAGAGTCAGCCGCTATACAACTCCATAAGCCACACACTGACCCAACTTTGAGAAAATTCATAGACTTTTAAACCCATCTTTGAGAAAATTTTAAGGCTCTCATCGTTTTCACCGGCTTTTAATTGCGTATTTTGCCGCAATTTTATGCTGTCTTATCAGAAATCAGAAAGATAATTCAAACCCATTTAAATATTCGGCAGAAAGTGTTTGTATTCTGCTTTGTTGTTGAAAAATTGAAACCATCGCTGGTGCGTTTGCTTTTTTTCTCATCTCTGAGAGACTCGGAGAGAGTGCAATGCTCCCAAGCTGAGATTATCAACAGAGAGATTGAGTTGAGAAGTTGAGAAAGAGAGAGAAAGATGGTGGTGAGGAAAGTGGGTAAGTATGAGGTTGGGAGGACGATCGGAGAAGGGACCTTCGCCAAGGTGAAGTTTGCGCAGAACACTGAGACGGGTGAGAGTGTCGCCATGAAAGTGCTGGATCGCACTACCATCATCAAGCACAAGATGGTCGACCAGGTACTCTCAATTTCCCCTAATTTGTACCCTCCAGTATGCTCAATTTACTTGCTTTGCATGCTAATTGTGAATTTTAATGGGTTCTTAAATTTACCCACTTTCTGATTTAGCATGGTTTTGGTTTGATATTGGCCTAATTACCTGTAATCTCGGACTTCAGGATGATCCAGTTTCCATTTTGGGTTTTTTTCTTGATAAAAATTTGATCTTTGTGATGCAGATCAAGAGAGAAATATCTATAATGAAGCTTGTCAGGCATCCCTATGTTGTTCGTCTGCATGAGGTATGTGATATCTTTAATCTTAGCTGCAAAAACTTTCTACAAATTGTTAGTTTTGCTGTCACTTACTTTATGATGTTGTTTTCTGTAGGTTCTAGCTAGCCGTACTAAGATTTATATAATTTTAGAGTTCATTACTGGTGGTGAATTGTTCGATAAGATTGTAAGTAGTAGTCTAACTTCAAATCCCACTGCTTAATTTGGACAATTAATTTATCTGAGGAAGCGGTAATGTTAACTGTTAAAACAATGGTTGTTCAGGTTCATCACGGACGTCTTAGTGAAGGTGAAGCCAGGCGATACTTCCACCAGCTAATTGATGGGGTCGATTATTGCCACAGCAAGGGAGTATATCACAGAGACTTAAAGGTCTTCCTTTTGTAGCATCTAGCAAGTTATTGTGATTGTTTCTTTTTCTTTCATGAAATTCTTATCGTTGTTTTTGTGCAGCCGGAAAATCTGTTGCTTGATTCTCTAGGAAATTTAAAAATTTCAGATTTTGGTCTGAGTGCATTGCCTGAACAAGTAAGATTCTTGTCTCATTTTGGACATTATTACAGTTGAGAGATTTAGTATTTGTAGGGATATCAATTTATGATGTTTGCATGTAGGGAGTCAGCCTCCTTCGAACGACCTGTGGGACCCCGAACTATGTAGCACCTGAGGTACGGACAAAATTAGTCAGTTTCTGAGTTAAATTTGACCGTTTCTCGACTACGAATAGTATTTATTTCATGCATCTGCTTTGTTTTATATATTTTTTAAATTGTTTTCATTTACTGCTCTAGGTACTTAGTCACAAGGGGTATGATGGTGCCGTGGCAGACGTTTGGTCCTGTGGGGTCATCCTTTATGTTCTGATGGCAGGTTATCTTCCATTTGATGAGCTTGACCTCACCACACTATATAGTAAGGCATGAACCTCTTTCATGTTTACTATTTTGGGATTATTAACTTTGAACAGAAGATTTCTTAATTGATATTTTGGATCTATTTGTGTAAATGTGAAAAGTAGTATCCCTAGTGAACAAACCTTTTAATAGCTTTTCATAAAAATATTTTAAAATTTAATAGCTCAATTACTACTTCTTAATTGATAATATAACATTGAAAGGGTTATCAAGCTGTCATTTAGACTTTTGTATTTGGTTGTGAAGTAAAGTGAAAGTGCTGTCTCTGTTCTTTCAATGCCAGATCCCCCTTGACACTATTTTTAGGTGCAGTTTCTAGTGGATCCTGGGCTTGATTGTTGGTTGTCTAGTTTTACCCCTGCCTCAATATTTTACTACGTCTGATGTCTACTTTTCAGTAAGAATATTAAAGTGTGATATAAGGATCATTGCTAATATTAAGTCATTATCATTTATTTCTGCAGATTGAGAAAGCAGAGTTCTCATGCCCATCTTGGTTTCCAGTGGGAGCAAAATCCTTGATTCATAGAATTCTAGATCCGAACCCTGAAACTGTAAGTATTTGATAGGTTGGAAGACATTGGTCATTTATATGCATAAAGTGCACATTCTCAGGCTTCAATATCAATAACAAGGGCACAATCAGAAACGTCGGTGCCATGTTTTTATTGGTTCATATTAAACTTGGGATGGAATAACATGTAACCATCCAACATGAGGAGGAGGTGCTTAACAAAAAAAATGTCAAAAAGAGTAGATATTTTCTTTATAAGTACCAAGGCTTGTGCTTTCTGTAATTTTAAACCTGACTCGAGGTCTGTTTGGTAATTGACCCAACCTTTAAACCTCTGCTGAGAATTTGAAATTTCTCTTTGAGTTTGTCACCTTTTTCATTTCTATATCTTTTTCCCTACCCTTATTCAGTGTATTTGTCACATGGAAGGAGAGAGGTACTTTTAATTGAAGTCTAAGGTTGTGATATTTGTTTAAAACTTAAGTGCCTGTTTTGAGTTACTACAGGGAAGCTAAGCCTATGCAGGGTAGACTGTGAGATTTCAGATAGAAATCACCTTTAGGATTCTGCCTCTCATTCTTTGTTCTCTGATTCATTCAAATATTTTGGTTATGGTTGTTTCTGAAAAGTTTCTCTGTGTGCAGCGTATTACAATTGAGCAGATCAGAGATCATGAGTGGTTTCAGAAAAATTATGTGCCTGTCAGATCGTTTGAATATGAAGATGTAAATCTGGATGATGTAAATGCTGTTTTTGATGATGCCGACTCTGAGGTTGGTAGGGCTTTGAGAAGTTACATTTATTTTTTTAGATTGACAACACAATTAACTTTCCTGTTATTTATGATAGCAGGAACAAAGGGTTAGTGAGCACCGTGGCAATGAAGACATGGGTCCTTTAGTTCTTAATGCATTTGACTTAATAATTCTATCTCAAGGCTTAAACCTAGCAACAATGTTTGACCGTGGCAAGGTAAGACAGTAACTTATTAATTATTCTCCCGTTATCTTTATCCTTTAGCTATTCATTAAACCATATTAATAGTTTTATATTTTGGACATTAATGGTAATATTAAAGGTACCCTAACACCCTAAAAGCTGCTTATCTTATACTCTTTTATCTCCGTTTCCCTTCATTCTGTCAGAAAAGCATCACAATCAAACTTTTAATTGATAATTCAGTATTTGAACACCATGCCCTTCGCTGCATTTTTGTAAATATAAGTTTGCCTGAGGTAGTATACTTATGTTATGTCCATTTCCTACTTAAGTACTTCTATGATGTGGTAATTTCTTTCCCTCAATAGGATTCGATGAAGTATCAGACACGCTTTGTTTCACAAAAGCCAGCAAAGGTTGTATTATCCAGTATGGAGGTTGTTGCTCAATCAATGGGTTTCAAGACACACATTCGCAACTATAAGGTAATGGGATCCGTAGTAGTCTATACTTTTGGTGCTTATCATCATATATACAAGTCTTTACTTTCATTTTATTTGCTATTTAATATGTGTGCGCGAGCACATACGTGTGATGTTCATTTTGGGTGGAGGATGGTCCTGGATAGCAGTACTTGAAAACTCAACAACTAAACAGACATATTTTCTATTCAGATGAGAGTGGAGGGTCTTTCAGCAAATAAGACTTCTCATTTCTCCATCATTCTTGAAGTAAGCTTTCACTCCTTATGCCTCACTGAACTGAAGCCACCGCCTGAGTATTTTATTAAACTGATTATTTTTTAATATTTTTATTGGCTGAAGATTTTTGAAGTTGCACCGACCTATTACATGGTAGACATTCAGAAAGCTGCTGGAGATGCTAGTGAATTCCTCAAGGTTAGTTTTCAGTTTGCTTCTAACAATTTTTGCTTGATATCATGACATGGTAGGTAGCTTGTGTCTGTTTGTATGTAGAAGGGTATGGTTTGTTTTTCCCTTTTCCATTTGCCCCTTTAGTTTCTGATTCGAATGAATGTGCTACTGTTCTACAGTTTTACAAGAACTTCTGTAGCAATCTTGAGGATATCATCTGGAAACCACCTACTGAGTCTAGCAAATCAAGGGTCAGCAAGAGTAAAAGTAAAAAGCGTTGATCTCGTTCATGTACGTCATCTGCTTTCGGTCCAGTGTCAGTGCTGGACATGTAGTTTGCAACGGTTTTGACCTTTGAGGGCATGGGGTGTGAAAGTTCTAGTCGCAGTTTACCTAATCCCTCCTGGAATCTCCTTCCCTATGACACTGCTGCCCCTGAAAGAGGGAAAGAAAGAATCCAGAAGGAAAAAGAATATTAGATAGATGTATTTATTTTTGTTTGTAGTGTGTAAAGTTTTACTGTGTTAATATTTTCTCCTTGCTTTGTTTAGTAAACTCTTGTTTCGTATATTCTGCACCTTGAAATTGTTGCTTTTATACCACCTATAGTTATGGCTGGAAATGTGGATGTCATCAAGGATACAGTGGGACAAGAATTCTTGCCAGGAAAGAGACGAAACGGTGACGTTCGAGTTTCATGGAATTTAGGACAAGAACATTTTCGGTAACTAGGTCCAGACTCTAGTTACATAAATATTTAACTAGGTCCATTGTAAGCAAAGTGGAATTTATGAAGCTGAAGTCGTGAGTATATCCTGCTGTAGGGGAAAGTCATAGGACTCTTTTCAGAGCGCCGATGTCAAAAGTTGTACAAGAAGTCAATTACGAAGTAATGTAGTTAGGAAACTGAGATGGAGGAGTGCATGATAGCTTTTCCAGAGTATCAATAACATAATAGATAAAATGGTTTATAGATTGAATTCAAGCAGTGTGTGTAAAAATAAAGACATAAAAATTTGAGGAAAGAGATAAAATATCGAAAAGCAGAACCCTGTAAAACCAAACGTGTTTGATGAATCTTCTTGTTGCAGATATTCTGTACACATGAATATTCAAGTTATTTGTTTTTGTTTGCTCAAAATGGTGTGCTCTCATCTAATTTATCCAGCATTTTTTGATCTACAACAAATAAGATTTAGGTCACATCTACAAGCCTCGTACATTACATAAAAAAATTTGGTGAATATTGACCAACAAACAACATATAAATTCAGTCAAATCCTTCAAAGTGTCTCACAACTACCAACTGGGATTGTGACTATATTCAAGGATCACTTGAACGGCCAGCTCTTACAGCCTGCCATATAAGTGACTTCACTCACCAAAAGCACCAAGTTTTAGCCCGAAGATCCTCCCATTCCAAACGGGTTATGCGAGGTTTAACTGTGCTATGAAGATCCTCCCATTCCAATGATGGATCAAACTAGCATGAACTTTTCAACCTCGACAGATTGAAGAACTCGGTACTTTTTCCCACTTTTTCATACGAAAGATATCAAAGATGACCTCCAAAATCCCCACATGAACATGTTCCGTTCACAAATTTGTGGAGGCGCTTGCTGTCTCGAATTACTATTTCCCTACCAGTCAGTGTTGATAGAAACTTCACAAAATTATGGCAATCTCTGCACATAATGAGACTTTTGACGACCCGAATTGGTGCAGCATTTGGTGTGTTCAACAATCCAAAAGCAATTGCCAACCTTTCACTGTGATAAGCAGTATAAGACAATGTCTGTTCTTCATCCTCATCGATTACTTCCAAACTTTCTAGTGACTCATATCCAAGGCTCTTGACTTGATCAATCAAACTTTCTACGAATTTGTGTGTATCTACACTGTAAGGATGAGATTCATCATTGGGTTTAAATGAAAAGACCTTGTCTTTAATGCTAATCCAGCTCCAGTCCCTTAGTTTCCCAAGCTTCTCCTCTTTCATCATTTTTCTCACCTTAGAAACGTCCTTCCATCTTCCTGCAGAGAGGTACATATTCAACAACAAGACATAAGTCTCAGTATCTTTTGGTTTGAGCTCGAGCAACTTCTCAGCAGCATAAAATCCCAATTCAAAATTCCCATGACTTCTACACCCTGCAACCAAGATGGACCATATAAACTCATTTGGTGCAGGATCCATTTTCTTGACAAGAGCAAAGGCTTCTTCTAACCGACCCCAACCGCATGTACATATCAATCAGGCAGGCAAAATGGTCCAACACAGGCTTAATCCTATAGTCCTTTTTCATCATCTCAAAGAAACCAAGTGCTTCATTGACCATCCCAGCCTGGCTACAAGCCGAGAGAACACTCACAAAAGTAACCTGATTTGGTCTGACTCCTGCAATTCTCATATCCTCAAAGAGCTGCAGTGCTTGCTGAGTCTTCCCATGCTGTGCAAAACCTGCGATCATAGTAGTCCATGATATCAAAGTTCTGGTAGACATTTCCACGAAAGCTTTGCTTGCTTTTTCGATGCTTCCACATTTATTGTACATATTGACTAAGGCAGTTCCTACTACCCTATCTGAAAGAAACCCAGATTTAATGGTCTGAGCATGAATCTGTTCTCCCTGTTGTAAGGCCACTAAACTACTACATATAGTCAAGATACTTGAGAAGGTGAATAAATCTGGTTTCAAGCCTGAGCGGTTCAATTTCAAGAAAAGGTTAAGTGCCTCAGTTCCACTTTGGTATGCTGAGAGATTATCCTCTGCAAGATCCATAATTTGTGCATGGCCTGCAATCATTGCATTCCAGGTAACCAAGCTGATAGCTCCTATTCCATTAAACAATTCTCGAGCCTCATTAATCAATCCACATTTGAGGTACAAATACATGATAGAGTTTCTTATTGGCAGGTTCAATTCATAGCCAAGTTTAATGCTTAACGAATGAACCTGCGTCCCCACATCCAAAGACAGCATTAAACAACACAAGCTCAATACACTGGTTAGGGTGTACTCATTAGGCTCAATGCCCTCAGAGAGCATTTCAGTGAAAAATTTCAAACCCCTTACAGCTTCGCCATTATCACCACAAGCAGATATGGCTGCAGTCCATGATATCACATTTTTTTCTTCAATTTTCTTAAATGCTTTAACAGCGGATTCCAAGGTTCCGCATTTCGAGTATAAACTGCAAAGAGAGTTGCCGATACTAGTGTCAAAGTCAATCTGGTACTTGATACTGTAGGCATGCAATTGCTTCCCTAAGTAAACGGATTGCAAAGAAGAACAAGCATTTAAAACAATTCCTAGAGTGTAATTCGTAGGATAAGCCCCAGCTTCCAACATTTCTTGGAAAACATGAATGGCAACTTCTGGCTGCGAACTGTGAACATAACCTGTCATCAAACTTGTCCACGAAATAACGTTTCTCTTTGGCAAATTGTCGAAAACTTTACGAGCAATTTCCATGTTTCCACATTTTGCATAAACATTGACAAGGAACGTTGAGACAAACAAATCTTGGTGGGTTCCGGTCTTTACGATGTGGGCATGAACAATTTTCGCTTCTGAAGCCGAATTCTTGTCTATGCATTCTTGCAAAACAGGGACGTAGTAAGTTGACTCAACATTTTCACCCTCTCTAATCATCGAAAGCGCTTCTCGGAAGTCCAGAGACTTGGGTTCTGAACTTCCATTCAAAGTGGTGACTGTGTGACTTTTCTGATACGACACGTTTGTGCTCTGAGATACCAAATGCAGGTTTAGAAGCAGTAAACCAACAAAAAAAACAAAGTACTTAGTTGGGAAAGCTTTAAATTAGTTGCATGGAATGAAAGCCTTGAATTTAAAGTTGCTCTGCTACTTTTCACAAATCAACTCTTTTCAAATACTGCAGTGGTTTAGCTTTAATCCTAGAAACTACAAGTACCCATCAAAATTCTGTTCACAAAAACAAAGATAGTAGCTTAAAAAAATATACAAACCAACAGAAGCCCAGAATTGGTTGTCAAAAAGTGAAGAGAGAAGATTATGATTACCCTTTCTGAAGGAAGAAAACTTGTGGGGTGTTTTCTGAATTCTTGGTCGAGCTTGAGATTGCCATTGACAGCCACTGAAGGCAAAGAAGCCATAATGGAGGCCTGGAGGTTTTCTTCAAAGGAATTGCATGCTGAGGGGAGTTGGGAAGGGAGGGAGTGTTTATCCGCTCCTCTATCTGTTTCAGATAAATTTTGTGGAGGGAAGGAATGCTCTTGTTCACTCAACTAACCACCCTCCTAGTTCCGGAATGTAATCAAATTACACTATTAGCCTTTCACTCAAGTAAAAGAATTGTTTTTTTTTCTTTTCTTCTTGGCTAATTCAAATTGGAAATGGGTGAAGGAAATCCCAATGGGAGAATAATCCCCTCATTTTGCCTAGAATGTCTTATTTTTTTTAAAAAGGGAAAAAGAAGTAGCCTAGAATGTCATTTGTTTCTCTCACAGTTGACATTTTACATTTAGAGCAAATAGTAAAATATAAATTGTGTTAATAATTTTCCAAATTATGTTAACAAGACTTTCATTTTAGCAACGAGCTTGTGGCTCAAGTAGTGGTGGGTTGTGAGTTTTTAAATTTTGACATTTTAATTTTTTATTATTATACAAGTGATAGTCTAAATTATTTTAAATTAATTTAATTTACGAAAATGGATTTAAACTTGGATGCAAAGAAGGCTGACTCACTACCCTGGAAAACTATCAACATAATTTATTTTATTTTATTTACACGTACATTGTGATAAAGTTCATTTATGATTATTTTTAGGACCTTTCTTCTTGTTGAGAGATGCGATAACATGCTAAACACACACAGGCAAAGTATGATTATTTTTAAGACCTTTCCTATTATTTTTAGGACCTTTCCCAACCAAGGTATGCTAGATTTTGCTCATGCAGTACCTTTTCCTTTATACACCCATACACGGGGCATCACTTAAATATTATGTATTCATCCCAGCTAGAATGTCAGCCTTATCTAATGGATAACGTCAAATTATGGCCTTCTTGAATTAGATTGATGGTGTAGCTTGGATTTTTACTTCTAAGGTCCTAATAAAGTCTTTTGTTCTTCATGTAGACACAATAGATTGATGTGGTACTTGCTGATTATTGAGCTTGTCTCATGTGTGTTAAGGTTACTCAATATATTTTATCATTTATCTTGCTGCTTGTTGGACATTAGCATGACCATGGAGCATGCACTGGTGAATTTTGCAAACAATAAATCAGTGCTTTTTCATCACCCCAAGGATTGCATTGAGCGACCTTATTACTTAGATTGCTTTCACCTTTATCTTATATAATTGAAATATTTTGTTGACTGAAGATACAGTAGATAATGAAGAAGGATGCCCTTGCCCATCATTCCACAAATATAAGTCAGTTTGTTATGCAGTGGATTTTTTCGAAATCATTTGCTTTGTGGTGTTTGATGCCACAACCAATCCTCAAGTTGGAGTTTTTGTTTAAGACTTTCTTAAGGGTGCTTTTCTAGTTTGAAGAATTTCTCAATAGGCTGTTGTTTTCATAAGATACTTTCAAAGTATATTAATATTTAAAGAGTATAGCCGCTCGGCTATACTCTAGAAATATATACTAATATTTTAAAAGTATAGCCGCACGGCTGTACTCTTATATATTCGAATATTTAAAAGTATCGTCCAGAACGCCACCGTTTTGGTGACATCTCCTAATATTTTGGCTCGTGACGTTGATTTACTGACACTGTGACACAAGTTCCGGTTTCCAATTCGCGGGACCCACATTCTTACAATCAACCTCAGCACCAACCAACCCAACCCCACCCACCAATAAAAAAAACTTAAATAAATAAATAATAAAAAACCAACCCCACCCACCGTGCTCTCCCACTCACTGCACCACCCTGAAAAAAACACGAACAACAAAATACAGAGATCACAGCCATGGCGGCAATGGCGCTTCGCAGGCTCTCAAGCTCCATCAACAAGCCACTTCAACCTCTTGTCAATGGGGTCAATGGCGGCTCCATATATCACATGGTAATAATATCTTCAACACCTGAATGAGCCGCTATCTCACAACACCTGCCATAGCTTTAACATTCTGTTCTGCGACATTTCTATTGGTTTTCAAATTCGTCTTCTTTTTGATTTGCAGTCCTCTCTGTCCAGCCAAGCAGCTCAGGATAAAGAGAAAGCTCGTGCTACTGTATGTATTCATATCTGATTTGGGTTATGTCGGATCTGTGTTTGTGGTGTGTTATTTGTATTGATGATTTTGAATCGTTTGAATTCAGTGGATAAAGCAACTGAATGAGCCGCTGGAGGTTGTCGATCCCGAGATTGCCAATATCATAGAACTTGAAAAATCTCGGCAATGGAAGGTATTGGTGATTTATTATCACGCAAGCAGGATCATTTTCATTTTGGTTTTTATTAGGCTACTTTCAATGTTTTAAATTTGGGATTTTGATTGTAATATACAATAAATGGAATGGAAAATGTTCTCTTGCGAGACTATGAATGGTACCTTTTATGAGGTTATTTTTCTTGAATGTGGGGTTCAGTCTGGAGACATAAAATAAGTCTGGCAAGAAAACATTGCCCATGGTGCAATATTGAGTGTTCAAGTTTAGTTAATGGTAGGAGAGTCATTATTATTATTATTAATTTTTGAAATTTGGTATTAATTTTTATTTTATGTCAGGGGCTTGAGCTTATACCTTCAGAAAACTTCACATCACTTTCTGTCATGCAAGCTGTTGGGTCTGTCATGACCAACAAGTACAGTGAAGGGTATCCCGGTGCTAGATACTATGGAGGAAATGAGTAAGTAGGTCTACAGTGAATATATTTTTGATCATTTTTGCAATCCTGTATGTAACTATTAAGTGAAAAAGGCAATTCCGCTTCTTCTTTTTTCTTTTCTAATTTTTTTTGTGAGGGGCGGGGGGAAGGCTGGTGTTGGAGAAAACCCATTGCAGTGATTAAAACTGATGAGAAAGTGGCACCTATCTAGTTTTGAACTAAAGACTAAATTATCATTCCACTTGATTGATTTTTGTTAATAAATGTAGATACATCGACATGGCTGAGTCCCTGTGTCAGAAACGTGCATTAGAAGCCTTTCAGTTGGATCCTGCAAAATGGGGAGGTAATAAAACTAAACATATTTATACATGTGGCATTGCGAACTTTTTTCTTTCCTGTCAGTTCCATTTTGTTTGCCTAAACCTGCATTGCATAAGTTTGGAATGACCTGTAAGTTAAATTGTTATACAGAACTCTTCTAGCAAAATCAAATGTGTCTGGCTATGTATTAATAAGAACACTATACCTGTTATATTTAAACTGTGAAAGTGGGATTAAAGGAATTCGTAGTATCTACTATGCTTTGTAAACTATGTCAATCATTGACTTTGATAGGTTTACAGATGAGTTGTCTTCACGTGAACTTTCTAACTCATGTTAATTCTGTTATTGAACTTTTCATGTACTGAATAAAAAGTATCTTAAATACTTAATTATTTAAAGAAACTGCGTACTTTTTTCTTTCAGTAAATGTGCAGTCACTATCTGGATCCCCTGCTAACTTCCAAGCTTACACTGCATTGTTGAAACCTCATGAAAGAATCATGGCACTTGATCTACCTCATGGTGGACATCTTTCTCATGGTTATCAGGTGTCTACATCTTCTGTTGATTTTTTTTCCAGATATATTTGGCTATATTCTCATGCTTTTGGTGGTTAACGGAGACAGCCTTTGTAGTTCTCAGTTAGTCTAGTGCTTCTGTTTTGTTAATTTTTTCTTCCCTTTCTTTTCTCCCCTGCCCTGTGAAGTATAGGAGCACTTTTCTCCATTTACACCACTGTTAAATTTATGATTAGTTGTTGGGACATGCTGATGTGGTCTATGCATATGGTCTATTAGTTATGCCAAGCCATGTGATAGCTCATCATGTTTTCATTCTAGAAGTAAGTTTTGGCTAAATTAATTGGTAGTTTTTTAAATAAAAAATACATATGCAGATATAAAAGACATTCCATGCATGGGCAGATGCAGGATCTTTATTGAGCTATATAATTATAGGCTATCTCGATGTTTTTTAAGATTAGGATTTAATGTAGGAGGGCCTAGAAGTGGTTTTGTCCAAGATTGATTGAACCTTGATGCCTGTTGGGCTGTTGAAATTATATTTTTAGGTTGCAGGAATTTTTTTGACAGAACTTACATTGAAAAGAAGAAAATAAAGGCAATCAGACCCTCAAGAAGCTTAAAAGCCATTGGAATTCTCTTATGGTTAACGACTGCATAATTGACTGCAGGCCTTTATATTAGTAATTTCCAATACTTATCCAATTAGGATTGCTACATAAAAGAAAAGGAAGTACTAAACCACCTAGGAAAGTACTCAAACAAATTGGGAACTGTAGTACCAGTGGTGGGTTACCAACTTTCATCCCAACTGATTTGTCACAGGGTAGGGTTACTTGAAACATTAAAGTGTTGGGAACTATTCACGATATGCCTGTCTAGGTATATACTAAATGATAAATAATCTTTTTTTTCTTCACCATTGTGCAGACTGACACCAAAAGATATCTGCCGTGTCGATATTCTTCGAGACAATGCCATACAGATTGAATGAGAGCACTGGCTACATTGATTATGATCAGGTGCCTTCTTATCCCCGACCTTTACTTTTCTAAATTATCATAGATTTGTATGATATGCTTGTGCATGAGACTTGTAATACTCTGGTTCAGCCTCAGAAAGAGGATGCAACAGGGTGCTGTCTTGTGTTGCACAGATATTATTAGAATAAAAAACTGCAGAAACATGTTTTTGGTAAATCAGTCTGGCGATTTTAACATGTAGATAACCATGTAAAGCAATTTTCCACATTATAAATTATCATTTCATGCATAAGAATTATGATTATTTTGGAATCAGAATTTGAATCCTTACAACCAAACCTGGGGATGTTTACCCTAAAGTCACTGAATGCATAGAACTAGGATTTTTAAGCATATCTCCCTAAATTGGTGCCTGAGTACCGCCTACAGTGATTTTTTTTTTTTTTTTTTTTTTTTTTTTTTTTTTTTTTTTTGGGTCGAAGAGTGCCTACAGTGCTAAGCATTCACCATTTGGATACCTTCCTGTTTCTATTTCAAGATAAAAGTAAGGGATGGAAATTGTATCTTGCATGGATAAGGGTTCTATTTTGACCAATGGCTATGTGTACTCTATGCATTGTTTTCAACTTTTGATCTTTGTTTATCAAAGGCTGACCTATGCGAATAAATATGTCCACAGTTGGAGAAAAGTGCCACACTTTTCAGGCCAAAACTAATAGTTGCTGGTGCCAGTGCTTATGCACGCTTGTACGATTATGAACGTATCCGCAAGGTAGGCTTTGGTTCGACTTTCGCGATTATGACAATCATTTTCATGGATCTCTGAAATTTTTTATGATAATCTTTAAGTGTGATGTTATTGTTGTGATGTTATCAGGTTTGTGATAAGCAGAAAGCAATTTTGTTGGCTGATATGGCACATATCAGCGGATTGGTTGCTGCTGGTGTTATTCCATCTCCTTTTGAGTATGCAGATATTGTTACAACCACAACTCACAAGTCACTTCGCGGTCCTCGTGGGGCTATGATCTTTTTCAGGAAGGGAGTAAAAAATATAAACAAGCAAGGGCAAGAAGTAAGTTCCTAATGTTTAATTTTAAAAAGTAAATAAACTAAGGCTAGCATTTGGGTACCCATTTATTTTGGCTATAACTCTAAATAAGGTGGTGAAAACCTTACTACAGTTTTAGCCAAAATAAATGTGCCCAGTTGCCATCCCTAAAAAAAAAGAAAGTAAAAAAAAAAAAAAAAAAAAAAAAAAAAAAAAAAAAAAAAAAATGAACCCCACGCAATTGAATTATTATAAGTGCTTGAGTTTTCCTTCTACAGGTTTTGTATGATTATGAAGACAAGATCAATCAGGCTGTCTTTCCTGGACTCCAGGGTGGTCCACACAACCACACCATATCTGGATTAGCAGTTGCACTGAAGCAGGTTCCTCCTTTTTTTTCTATTTGAGTACCTCTGATCAGATCCTGCATCTTTTTTTCTTTTGTTTAATTGAACATAACTAAACTTTTTTTTTTGTTGCTTTTTTTCTTTTCTAGGTCAAAACTCCAGAATACAAAGCTTACCAAGAGCAAGTTCTCAGTAATTGTTCAAAATTCGCAGAGGTCTGATGTCACTTTCCAACACATGTGATGCAAATAGAAAATTCTTTTTCTTTTTATATATTAAGGGTTCTCTATAAAGCAATTTGGTTGTTTCCTCTGTCTCTCTAATTTCCTTCCAAACATGCAGAGCTTGCTAGAGAAGGGTTATGATCTTGTTTCTGGTGGAACTGAAAACCATTTAGTGTTGGTGAATTTAAGAGACAAGGTAAAAGGAGATTGTTACTTCCTCTGACAGGAAGATTTCAGCTGTGAAGGGCTATGATGTTCTAATTGTTTACCCGTTTCTGTAACTGGAAGATTTATAGGCCTTAGTATTGAGCATGTTAAACTGAAGGCTTACGGAAAATCATCCCATGGTTCCTTTAAAATAATTTTACTAGATGAACAACTAATTCTGGTAACCAAAAGGTGAGTCATAGGCTTACAAAAAATTATCCCATGGTTCCTTAAAAATAATTTTACTAGATGAACAAGTAATTCTGATAACCAAAAGCTGAGTCATAAATAGCCTAGGTTTTGGGTTTTATAATGAATCCACAGAATTCAAATGATTTACAAAAATTTAGTCGGAAAATCATAGAACTTCCCTATAGTGGAGTGCTTGATGTTGAATTCATTGATGGATGCTGTTGTGAAAATGGGTTATGGCAAGAGAAAAATTGTTAAGATATCCTCTTCGAACTTTTTTGTGACAGGGCATTGATGGCTCAAGAGTTGAAAAAGTTTTGGAATCGGTTCATATTGCAGCAAATAAAAACACTGTTCCTGGTGATGTGTCTGCCATGGTACCTGGTGGCATACGCATGGGTAAGGCCATCTGTATTTAATTATTTTGCACCTGCTGGTGATTGGCTAAGTACATCTTTTCTGACCCTATTTTTGGGTTGTTCAGGAACCCCAGCTCTAACATCTAGGGGGTTTTTGGAGGAGGATTTTGCAAAAGTAGCTGAGTATTTTGATGCAGCTGTGAAGTTGGCTTTGAAGATCAAGGCTGCTGCCAAAGGTTTACTCTACCACCATCTTGTGGATATAAATTTTATTAGCGTTTGTAATGCTTGGTCACAGATTTCACTACCATAGTTACATGCCCATGCACATGTCCTGGGTTCATACAAGTGCAGGTACCAAGTTGAAGGACTTTGTGGCAATTCTGGAATCTGATGGTGAAATTCAATCTGAGATTGCAAAGCTTCGCCATGAGGTTGAGCAGTATGCTAAACAATTTCCAACTATTGGATTCGAGAAAGAAACAATGAAATACGGTGAATGAAATCCTGACCTCACAGATCGATGTTACAGGTCAAACCCCTATCTCCACTCTGATAAGTGAATAAGCACAATGCTTGACGTAAATTGAATTATTTGAGAGCATTTCTGTCACTTTTAATACACAAAATACAATCTTGCAGATACTTTTTCTGAACCCGATTAAGTGTCTACCTCAAAGATGTTTCCTATACGAAAGGAGATAGGGATATAAAAAAATTCAATACAAATGAGTTTTTTTTTTCTTTTCTTCTTTTTCTGTTTCTTTTTCCTTTGCCGATTGTAATACTTGATTACTTGAAGTTTCTTGTCCACATTGTAACTCTGTTATTTCTTCTTAGTTTCTCAATAACCGATGCTATTTTGTATCGATTGGAATGTTGTCAGCATGAAATCTTGCAATTTTCTTGCGGCTAATATGGAAGGTAGTGTGTCAAGGGAGCACGATGCTTACTGCTTACTTTTATATTTATATTTCTTTCGTAAGAAATTAAGAATGGAAGATTCAAGTTTAACTTATAAGTTGCGTAGTTTAATATAAATTCAATTTTGACGAGGCAGACAGCTACTCTTTTTGAGAACCATTCAAAAGGACCACATTGTGATTGAAAAGTTTTTGGACTTTTGGCAATTTTGAAGGAAAAACCAACAAAAATGTCGTCACAGAGTGTAGCCGGACACGTAAAGTTGTTGTTTTTAAAAAATATTTATGTATATATTTTTTGGCTCCAAAACCTGTGGATTGAAAAGTTTGTGAAAAGTTGCTTTCTGAGGAGAATCTTTTTGCTTTGTGAGAAGTATTTTGGTTGGGTAGTTTGTGAAGAGTAACTTTGTGTAAGAATCGTCCCTTGTTTTGTTTCTTTAAGGATGAAACAGATCCCAATACCAATCATAACACTAGTTTTGTGGGAAGTATTTTAAGATCCAACTCGTATGACGGATTCTATTGAAAGACTTGATTGCTTGCTTGGATGAATTTGGTTGAAACTTCAAATGCCAAATTCCCCATTTTTACTGACAAACCAACCTATCAAAATGTTACCTATTAGACAAAACGAATTCATCCGATCAAAAACACAAAACTAAAGCAGACAAAAGCCACACAAACAACTATAAAACCCACATTACTCAAATTAAGCATGATATTTGCACTGATCCGTCAAGCATAGAGAGATTACATTTCTCGACCGCATTTTAATATTATATGATGTAGCAAGTAATGTGTATAAATCATTCACAAGTAGCAAGTGATGTGTACAATTCATTCATATATAATCGGATTATTTTCAAGAAATATAGGTACGTGAAGCATAAGTTCTGAAGGAACGACTGAAAGAACAAAGATGAGCTTATAAATTTCATTCCTCTGCAGAAAAACCATGGCATAAAAATAAATATGAAATAATAATGAGAATTTGTGAACAATCTTTTGTTTTGTTCTACCTCTCAAATTTATATTAGTTTCATCAAACTTATCTACATGAGTTCGACCAAAAAAAAAATCTACATGAGTTAAGGTGTTCGTTTGTTTGCTTAGATACCTTAATCATAGATGGAATAATACAGAAAAGTCTACATCAAAAATATCAGTTCATTAATCTTTGCAATCGGCAATATGCTTTCCCTTCCTTGTCAATTCCGGGAATCCAATTCCAGCTAACCCGACCCCGCCGGCAATCACTTATTACTAAAATGAATGTCATTTCAGTAAATCCAAAACTGCAAAACTGTAAATAAACAGTAAAAAAGACTTTTAAAACCCCCGACACATTTCATTTCACCATTCAAACCAAACCTCTCCACTATCACTCACTCTTCTCCCCATGGCCACCACCACCACCACCACCACCACCCTAGAAATGGAGGCTGCCCCCGAAACCAATCTCGACGAGACCGAAGATGACTTGTCGCCCATCGAAGAGGTTCGTCTAACGGTGTTAAACGAGGACGACACGTCGCTGCCGGTATGGACGTTCCGGATGTGGACAATAGGCCTATTTTCTTGCATCCTCCTCTCCTTCCTCAACACCTTCTTCTCGTTCCGCACGGAGCCGCTCGTGATAACGATGATCTCCGTGCAGGTGGCGAGTCTGCCGATCGGACGGTTCATGGCGCGGACGCTGCCGAGGACCAAGGTTTGGGTTGGCGGGAAGTCGTTCTCGTTGAACCCCGGGGAGTTTAACATAAAAGAGCACGTCCTGATTTCAATATTTGCGAATGCCGGTGCAGGGTTTGGGAGTGGACCGGCTTATGCCGTGGATATCGTGACTATAATCAAAGCTTTTTATGGTCGGAAGATATCGTTCTTCGCCAGTTGGGTACTTGTGATTACTACACAGGTAAGATAACTAGTAATGAACTAATATTCACGTGTTATATGCTAAACGCTCAAGTATAACGCTCAAGTGTTAACCGGTTAGTAAGTTAATAAAGTTCACGAATTATATATTGCAGGTATTAGGGTATGGATGGGCCGGTATTCTCAGAAAGTACGTGGTGGATCCGGCGGCGATGTGGTGGCCCAGTAGTCTCGTTCAGGTTTCTTTGTTCAGGTAATTTCGTAAACTTAAAAAAGCTTACGATATGTAGTTTCAACTCTCTTTGGGATAGACAATCTTGTTATAACTTATAAGATCAGAAAACCAGTTGGTAGTATACTTATGTGTATGGAAGGGAAAATTATGCATTAAGTATAGTTATGTGGATAATTCGGTAGATTTCCTTACAATTTCTGCAAAAACAAAAGGAGTTTGTAAATTTGGTACCACATCCATAATATGATATGTAACGAAGAATATATTGGATCCGAAAAATACGACAACATGAGTCTTGGTAGGAAAGGTCTTTTGCTTTTTAGCTAATGAAGAATAATTGTTAATATCGTACGATACTCAATTATTTTTATGATTGTGACTCTAAGGGCTCGTTTGATAAACCATTTCAAATTTAGATTTTAGTTCTCATTTTTTGTACTAGAGTATATAGGAAAATGAGAGTGAGAATAAGATTGAGAGAGAGGATGATAGAGGGAGGAGTAACAAAAGTAAAACAAGATCTTGAAAATGAAAACAATTTCAAATAGATTTCAGTTTTTAGTTTTTGTTTTCACTTTTGTTACCCCTCCCTCCCATCCTCTCCTATCATCTTCCCTTTCAATCTCATCTTCACTCTCATTCTCACTTCCATTCTCCCTCATTTTCCTCTATACTCTAGCACAAAAAATGAAAACTAAAAATTAAAATTGAAATGGTTATCAAATGGGCCCTAAATTAAAAAATTAATATGAGTCTTTGTTGAAAAAGACTTGTTTTAAGAATTTAATTTGTGTTCCATTATCTTGATTAACAATATTATACGGGAATGAATTATATGCCTATAATGCATCTTTCTTCAAATATACACGAATTTTTTCATACAAAATACACAAGAGTAGTTAAAAAGAAGGTATTTATGCTTATAATACACATATTTAATGGCTATCATGCAAAATTTAAAATGAGCACAAGTGCTAAAATAAAATTTGTTCCAACTTATTTTATATATTTTTTTACGTCTATAAACAAGTTATTTATAAGGACTTGAAACCCATATGCCTCAAACATTTAATCCATGGAAACAAATATATATCCTGCACTAATGCATGCTTTTTGTTTTTGTTTTTAATTTTATAGAATGGCATGCTCTTTTTTTTGAGCTTTCAAACAATATTTATCAAATGAACTTGACTTTGGTTTCCCATATGCATGAAGGGCTCTTCATGAGAACGACAGCAACCGAATGTCCAGAGGCAAATTCTTTTTGATTGCCCTCATATGCAGCTTCTCTTGGTACGTTTTGCCAGGCTACCTCTTCACAACTCTCTCCACAATTTCATGGATCTGTTGGCTCTCTCCAAAGTCAATAACAGCTCAACAAATTGGGTCGGGTTTCCGTGGACTTGGTCTGGGGGCAGTAACCCTAGACTGGTCTGTCATAGCCTCCTACCTTGGCAGCCCTCTGATCAGTCCCTTCTTTGCCATTGCCAACATCGCAGTGGGTTACATTATCATCATGTATATGATCATTCCAATTGCCTATTGGAAGCTCAATTTGTACAATGCCAGCAATTTCGCAATCTTCTCTTCCCATTTGTTTGATTCCCAGGGCCAAATATATGATGTGAAAGCCATTGTGAATGACAAGTTTGAGATTGACATGCCCTCGTATGAAAAACATGGACTCATAAACTTGAGTGTCTTCTTTTCCCTAACCTATGGCATTGGTTTTGCTGCTGTTATATCAACCCTCACACATGTGGCCCTTTTCCATGGAAGGTTGGTACATAGTTCTTTTTTTTCAAGGCTTTAAATTTAGTGTTTTTTCCACTAATAATACTACACAAGTTTCCCCAACTCTCTACCTACATCCCCTTTAGTTGGTAGCGATTACTAGCACTTCAAGAAAGTTATTTAGCACTCATCTATTATATTTTCGCATTTCTAAAAACAATAACATGGAAGTGCATGATGACTATTTGGGAATGTCATGGTTCCTTTTTTGTTTTTATTTTTCTATGGGAAGTTTTGTTTTTATCCTCGGATATACAATTACTTTTTTCACTAAACCCAAGTAGTTGATCATTTAGTTAGGTACATTATTTTGCATATATATAGGTGCAAAAGTCGTAAATACATTCATAATATATAAATAGGCCTATCATTGTAGCAATGAAAATGAATGTACCTACATACCCTTTTGTACCTTCATATATATTCAAAATAATTCACTTAAGAAAAGGACTTGGATCAAAATTTAATTTTAACACTCAACTACTAATGACAATTTTTTGTTTAGGCAAACAAATTTAGTGTTATTAATTATTATTGTGGCACTGATACGAATGATTCTTCTAACAGGGATATATATAAACAGTACAAATCTTCACATACTGGAATAGATATACACACCAAATTAATGAGGAAATACAAGGACATACCCAACTGGTGGTTTCATAGTTTGCTTTTT